AAGGCAGCAAAACAGAAAAGCGTAGGAAATGAAAAGCTTTTAAAAAATCTTCCTTGATTGGCCAGGCACGGTGGCTCGCGCCTATAATCCCAACATTTTGGGAGGCCGAAGGGGGGTGGATAACTGTGGTCAGGAGTTTGAGACCATCCTGGCCAACATGGTGAAACTCCGTCTCTACTAAAAATACAAAAAAAAAGGAAAAAAAAAACACTAGCCGGGCACGATGGTGCGTGCCTGTAATCCCAGCTACCTGGGAGGCTGAGACAGGAGAATCACTTGAACCTGGGAGGTAGAGGTTGTAGTGAGCCGAGATCGCGCCACAGCACTCCAGCCTGGGGAACAGAGTGAAACTCCATCTTAGAAAAACAAACAAACAAAAGAAAAACTTCCTTGATTACCTTAAAAGACCTCCCCTTTGGGGTTTCTGTAGCACCTATAATGTGTTTGACTAAATATCTACATATATGGGTGATAGGTTGAAAAGAGTCCCAGGCAGCTAACCTCACCTCATTCTGTAGCTACGAATGGGATCCTGGATGGCCACCCGCCATCTTGTCCATGTGTGATCTTGAACACAAGAGGGTCCGAGCAGGAGAGTATGGCTGAATTTGGATCAATCCATTCCCATAATTGGAGCCCAAGAGGTTATGTGAAAGAGAGGAAAAATGTAGGATACTTAGAGTACTCAACCTAGGGTTTGGTCATGATTTTTCCCCTTCTTAGAAGTATAACCTTGCATAAAACACACTCTCACCAAACTCCAGCTCTTCACCTAAAGGACAGAGCAAGCACCACCTTCCTCCAGGGAACACTTCGAGGAGCAGAAAAGGTCACAAAAGCACAGAGGAAATAGTCTGACAAGTACTGGCCACTTTCCATGCATTAGCCCTTACAACAACTACCATTATAGATAAGGAACAGAGGCAAATAGTTTGCCGGATGATCACACAGCTAATAGGCAGCCAAGCAGAACTTGAGTTGATGCAGTTGTGTTCTGGAGCCCACACTCCTTAATTTTATACTGTTTATATCAAGATAGAAACTAGCATGATGCCTGGCACATTGTAGGTGATCAGTAAAAGGTTAGCCCTTTCCTTTGGTCTCTCTTAAACATACAGGATTATGCTGAGAAGTTGACAGAAAAGTATATGTGAAGGTTCTCTGAAAACCATGAAGTCTAATAACCATTTAAAAAAAAAAAAAAACAGCTTTATTGAGATATAACACACATACCATACAATTCACCTATTTAAGTTGTACAATGCAGTGGGTTTTCTTACAACTTAACAGAGTTGTGCAACCAACACCACAATCCATTTTAGAATATTTTCAAAAAGAAGCCCCAGGCCTTTTAACCATAATTCCCCCATCTCCACCCACCCTGGCCCTGGATACCCTGAATCTACTTGCTGTCTTTATGCATTTGCTTATTCTGGACATTTCATTTAAATGGAAACATAAAACACATGGTCCTTTGTGATGCCTTCTTCCCACTCAGCACTGTTTCCAGACTTATCCGTGTTGTGGCAGGCCTCAGAACTCTGTTCCTTTTTATTGCCACAGAATATTCTATTGGCATTCCATGTATCTACTTGCTCCATAGACTGTTAGACTGAGAAATAACTTTATGGAGACTGAGCGCAAATACCCCTCATTTACGCAAATACACTGAAAAAGAGACTGTGTCTAAGAGGCTACGCAGCCTAGCCAAGGTCACTCAGCTCAGAGCCCAGCCTTGAGCCTTACAACTCTCCACGCGGTCCCATCTTACTTCACCCCTCAGAGCATTATTGGAAACATAACTCAAAGTGCACAGCTGATTGATGATGCACCAGCAGAATCATCTCTGCCAATATTAGCCCAACACCATTCATTCACCAAATAATGTAGACTGCCCACTGTGTGCAGGGCACTGTAGGAGGTGCTGAGGACCCCAGAGGGAACAGGACAAGATCTCTGCCCTTCTTCTCAGAGTGTACACTTTCCTGAGGAGGCAGAAATAGATCAGCAGCTCCCTAGATAAGATCATTGCATGTTGTACTAAGTGCCATGAAAGAAACAAGGGGCAGAGGAGGAGAAGAATGTGGGGGAGGGTGGCATTAGTAGGGAGAATGGGGTGGAGATGAAAGGACCTCGTGCACAGAGTGTCACAGGTTACTGGGGAGGGCCTCTTTTAGGATATTTAGGCTGAGGCCTGGAGGAGAAGGATGTTGTGAATATCCAGAGGAAGAAGGTCCCAGAGAGAGAGCATTGCATGTGCAAAGATCCCAGGAAAACAGGGAAAGTTTGAAGTTTAATAGGAGCAGAAAGACAGAGCGAGCAAGTGGTGTGACTGAAGGCTTGAGAGAGCAGAACCCACCTTACAGTGGAGGCCCACTGGCCTGTTCCCTCATATGGCTACACTCTCAGAGCTAACTATTCCTAGGAGGACCTGTGAGAAAGTGCATCAGTGGCCAGTTCCTTCCTGTGAATTAAATAAACTCCACTTGCCACAGGAAGCTAGAGGAAGTCCTGAGTCTCTATAGCAAAGACTTCTAAGGAAGGGAGAATTGCATCTTAGGTAAGGGTGATAAACCCATGTATCATCCTGGGGGTGAATCAGGAGATAAGGAAAGCAAAGAGAAATAAGAAAATACAGGCATATTAACAGAGAAGTGGTTAAACAATTATGGTATAGCTACATAATGGAACACAATTCAATTGGCAAGAAGAAAGAAGTTCACTCTTTCTGTACTGATGTAGAAAGATCTCCAATTAGTTAAGAAACAAAATAAGCAAGGGCAGAACTGTGTGCTCAGTACATTACCATTAGTATGAGGTAGTATGTCTTTTGCAATATACGCATACAAGCTCTCTAGAAAGGATACACATACAAGGTGTCTAGGAGGGGTTTCCTTGTTTCTGTATCCCCCAGGAGATGTGCACTCCAGAAGGGAGCTTTTCACTATCTCCTCTGCTATTTGGAAACATGGAAGTATATTTCCTATTCAAAGAAACTAAATTAAAAATGAAAACAGGCCTGGATGCAGTGGCTCACGCCTGTAATCCCAACACTTTGGGAGGCTGAGGTGGGCGGAGCGCAAGGTCAGGAATTCGAGACCAGCCTGGCCAACATGGTGAAACCCCCACCCCGTCTCTACTAAAAATACAAAAAAATTTAGCCAGGTGTGGTGGTGCATGCCTGTAATCCCAGCTACTCGGGAGGCTGAGGCAGGAGAATTGCTTGAACCTGGGAGGCAGAGGTTGCAGTGAGCCAAGATCATGCCACTGCACTTCAGCCTGGGTGACAGAATAACATTCCATCTCAAAAGAAGAAAAAAAAAGAAAACAAAGAAAAGGCAATGAGGGGTCTAGATCTACCAACCAAAGCCCTGTGTGTTCCAGCCTCTCCTGCCCCTCGGCCTCTGCCAAGCTGAACCTCAGAGATGCCCCCTCATCCTCCTACGGAACTACTGGGCAGCCACTGGTTCCTGGTCTAGATTTCACTCCTACTTGTAATGATGGTTCTGATGGTCTAGTGAACAAATAAATTATCCCGAAGAGTCTAGAATTAATTCCAATTCCCAAATGTGAATTATCAAAGCACCTCTCTCAAGAGGGCACCTGAGGGTGAATAAACAAGTTAATAATTATCAAATGAATACTGGATTCCAATTAAGTGTCCAGCACCTTGGGAGTGTCAATCAGCGTGAATGAGGAGAGTGTGACTCTGTAACTCACAGTCCTTTCCCTCCATCTCCAGGTTTCTCAACCTGGGTGCTGCTGACTCTCTGGGCTGGAAAATTCTTTGCTGTGGGGGCTGCCCTGTGCATTGTAGGATGTTAGCAGCATCTCCAGCCTCTACCCACCAGATGCCAGTAGCACCCACCCCCCTAGCTGTGACAACAGAAACTGTCTTCAGAGATTGCCAAATGTCCCCTTTGGAGCAAAATCACCCCCAGCTGAGAACCACTGTTCTCATCACTGCATTTCCAGGTAACAGCTTCATTCTCTCCACATCAGGAGCTGGCGATCTCCCCTCTGCCTGTACCCCAGGTGGGTTGCCATAGAGGCTGAGGGATTGACGGAACCTTCATTGCGAGGGAGTTCCTTTAGTTTCATATGTGGCAACCAATCCTAACTCCCTGGGAACCTCTTCTGTCTCAGGGAAAGTAGCAATCTCAGATTTTATAAAATAACCATCTGTGGATAGAAGTCTCTCCCACAACTAGAAGGCCCAGACAATTAAAAGGCACCCCTGGCCGGGCGCGGTGGCTCAAGCCTGTAATCCCAGCACTTTGGGAGGCCGAGACGGGCGGATCACGAGGTCAGGAGATCAAGACCATCCTGTCTAACACGGTGAAACCCCATCTCTACTAAAAACAATACAAAAAACTAGCCGGGCGATGTGGCGGACGCCTGTAGTCCCAGCTACTCAGGAGGCTGAGGCAGGAGAATGGCGTGAACCTGGGAGGCGGAGCTTGCAGTGAGTTGAGATCCGGCCACTGCACTCCAGCCTGGGCGACAGAGTGAGACTCCGTCTTAAAAAATAAAAAAAAAAAAAAAAAAAAAGGCACCCCTGTGCAGGTTGATAACAAAAGCAGAACACACGCAGGGTGGCTAGATCCCAGTCTATGGCACCCCAAGACTGCAGGGATGAGGGAGCCTGAGGGAGTGAATACCATTTCCTCCTGTGATTATTTTCCCACAGGTGACAGAAAGAAAGGAGCGAGGCACCGTGAAGGTGCACGCAGGGTCATTTTGTAACCAACAGGGTGGACAGGTAGGTGAGCCGGCCAGTGTCTCTCCTTTCCCAAGGACGTAATCCCAATGGACAACTTTATTTGGAAGGCAAAGAAAAAGGGACTGTATTTCTATGTTTTGATTAATCTGAGGCTCATCCCTGAGGGCTCTGCAAAATGAATGAGCAGAATTTTCCATGGCCAACTGTCCTGGCTGCCGGGTCCTATCGGCAAAAGCGTAGTGTTTATTTACTTTTGCTCGTGTTATTTTTATTCCAGTTCAGCTGCAGCTCAGTGCGGAAAGCGTGGGGGAGGTGTATATAAAGAGTACCGAGACTGGCCAGTACTTGGCCATGGACACCGACGGGCTTTTATACGGCTCAGTAAGTATGAAGCTGACATGCTTCCAGACGTGGCCAAGGTTTGAGGTTTCCAGAAATCTTGTTACATGGAGTGAGGCAAACTATAAAGCAACAATTAGTCTCTGTTTGTTATTTTTTCCAGAAGGATTCCCACCCTCACCCTGCTTTATTTTAGACACAAACATAAAAGAGTTTCTTGTGGTATTCTCTCAAAACACTGAAATGTATTATCATATAAACACAGAGGAAAGATTGATTGATGTTTTGGTAACTCTTCAGTCACTCATTTTAGAATATCTAATCCCATTCCATTCATTCATTCATTCATTCATTCCAAAAATGTTTTCTTTCTTTTTTTTTCTTTGAGACAGGGTCTGGCTCTGTCACCCAGGCTGGAGTGCAGTGGTGCAATCATGGCTCACTGAAGCCTCGAACTCCTGGGCTCAAGCGATCCTCCCACCTCAGCCCCCCGAGTAGCTGGGACTACATATGAATACCACCATGCCCAGCTAACATTTTTATTTGTTGTAGAGACAAGGTCTTGCTATGCTGCTGAGGCTGGTCTCAAACTCCTGGGCTCGAGCGGCCTCGGCCTTCCAAAGTGCTGGGATTATAGGCCACCACACACAGCCCAAAAATGTTTCTTGAGTACCTAGGTACTATGTGCTATAGGGGTGTCTCTTATTGCTTTTTTCACAAATGGTGGAGCCTGGGCTTTTGTAGTTTATATGTCATGCATAAAACTTTGAAAATAGCCCCTTTTATTCTGAAAGGATCACCTAAAAGGATAAAAAAGCTTAATAACTTAATTCAACATTTATCAAATATCTCCTGTGTCTAAGTGCCATGTTAGGTACTGAAAGAATGTGAGGATGAATGAACCGCATGGAGAGGCGTAGTCTAATTGTTTCTTCAGTAGCTAAAATCCTCCATGTTCCCTGCCCTCTCCCTATCATAGCTAATGCTTTATACAGGTTTGACCGTGTATAGATAGGTCTTTATGGGAAAGGAATAGAAATAGAGGCAATGTGATTTTGCCCCTATTGGTATCTCTGTGACCCGAATTAACTGGAGAGACAGCTTAAACCAATGACTGAAGGTTTTGAAGTTATTTCTAGATTTTAATGATCCCTCCTCTGTATCCTAACAATTGATAAACTAAGGCTTGGCTGTAATTCTTAGCCCAATCCATACCCCTTTCCTCCCTTGTATGAAGATGTCTTCAAAAAGACAGCCAGTAGGGGGAATTTTAGTCTGGAGCTTCACCTTATATCAAATTGCCAAGTGACAGAGGGCACAGGAAACCCTCTCTTGAAGTTGTCATCTCAGCGAAGGGTCCAGATGTGAACACAGTTTTGTTTCCTCACACTGCCCACTAGGGATCAGGAGATGAAATCATCAGGGTAATAGGCAACATCTAAAACGCTATGTGCTCAGTACAGATCACCTGGGACGGCTTTAAGGGGTTTGGGAGTAGGGGTTTAAGGTAGTTCTTCCAGGTGGTAGCAAAATCAATCCATCAGCCAATCATTCAGTCTCAGACTCATGATTGAATCTCATGCCTCTGCCACTCTGGCAAGTCACTTACCCACTCTGAGCCTTGTCCAAAATGAGGACGGTCATGGATCATAACCGCCTCACACAGAGAGTACATGAGTTCAGTGGCACAACACACAGAACGCGCCCATCAGAGTGGCTGGCACGTCACAGACCAGTGGTGGCTGTAAGACAAGTCAGCGTAGAAGCCCCTCACCCTCACTGTATCTTAGGTTATGCCACAGTTTTATGGCTTTTCCCCCTTTAAATCAATTTTGATGTTTATTGTAACCTGCTTTCACTTATAGAAAAATATTGAGGGAGAACTCCCAGGATCTAATTTCCGATACGCTCCAGGCACCCCCTTCTCCCACCATAACCATGGCCACCACTGCAATTCACCTGAAATATGATCTTAGTATATGACATCTAAGAATGTTTGCATTTTCCCCATTGATAAAGAGAAGTTCTAAGATATCTCAAAGCTCTGCTTCATGCTCTTCACAAAATTTAGGCACTAATCCATCCTGATTCAAACTTGTGTGTGTGCAAAGGATATATATATTTTTTAAAGTTTGAAAGGCTATATATCAAAATATTGGGGGTGGAGAATGGGTGATTTTATAATATGTGAATCACTTCCTGTATTTTCCAAATTTTTTTTACAGTAAGTATATGTCACCTATGTAACTTGGGGTGGGAGGGGAAACATGCTAAATATAAAAAAGAAGACAATTTAAACAATAGGCATGAATCAATAGTTAACCCACATGTCTTCGGCATTGTACCAAGTGCATAACGAGTGCTGACAAATCCTGGTGGAGGGACGGAGCACCGCTAATCTGGCCTGCTGACTCAGCCTGTGACTCAGCTATTTTGTGTGTGTCAACTGCTCCAATGTAATAGAGACATCAGGTGGGGAATGTGGCCATCCTCACCTTCGTCACAGAACGCAGGCCTGATGCCCACTATGAGGTGTCAGGGGTGAGTCCTCTCTACAAGGGAGTGGGCAACCCACATTGGTCCAAGCTGTCTACCTCCTTCTACCCCCAACAATGTGCATCAAACACGAATGTCTGGACCAAGTTCCTCTAGAGGCAGCAGAGTCATCCAAAAAAATATATTTATATCTCATCTTGTTCCAAAATGATCTAAAGTGTCTCACCCAGTTGTCATTTCACTAGATTATGAATGAATAAGAGGCAGGATACTTCCTGTTACACAATTCCTTACTAAGAAAGGCTGACTTTCCTGACTGCTTTGTATTATCTCAAGAATCAAATTAAACGCATTACTTAGCTGGTGAGCACCTATTATTTGCAAGGCTCTGTGTCTGGAGGTGGAGAGAAGACCAACAAGATTCCATCTCCTTCCTCACTAGGGTTTATAATCTAAAGAAACAAACGTGCTTACACATAGAGAACAATGAGCAACATGATTGGAAACCGCCAGACAGTGATTGGAAATCACCAACCACAGTGGGTGAAGAGAGACTGCAGGGGTCACACGACTTGAAAAAGGCAAAGCAGGCCGGGTGCGGTGGCTCAAGCCTGTAATCCCAGCACTTTGGGAGGCCGAGATGAGTAGATCACGAGGTCAGGAGATCGAGACCATCCTGGCTAACACGGTGAAACCCCGTCTCTACTAAAAAATACAAAAAAAAAAACAACTAGCCGGGCAAGTTGGCGGGCGCCTGTAGTCCCAGCTACTCAGGAGGCTGAGGCAGGAGAATGGCGTAAACCCGGGAGGCGGAGCTTGCAGTGAGCCGAGGTCCGGCCACTGCACTCCAGCCTGGGCGACAGAGCGAGACTCTGTCTCAAAAAAAAAAAAAAAGAAAAAGAAAAAGGCAAAGCAAAGTCAGATGTCTCAGTTCCCAGCTTAAGTGTTTTAATATACCTGTTTTAGACCCAAATGCAATAAATATATTCTAAGATCTTGGCGAATAGAAAGTTCAAAAACTGAGTTGCCCCTCCACCAACAGATTAACTACAAGTAAGCAAAATAGTGATTGCTGGGTTTTTTTCAAGTAACTGCACTCTTTAATATGTTGTGGCTGATTTTCAACTTAATAAATGTACAGCTGCACTAGATTCTACTGTACGGATATTCTTTTATCCACTTAACCAATCACCTTTCCATGGACATATAGGTTACTCCTAATCGCTTGCCCCTAAAACCATTGGTTCAGAGACCATCCTCAAAAATACAATTGTACATTTACTCAGCTATCTCCTAGGGGTAGATTCCTAAAAGTGAAAGTGCTGAGTCAAAGGTAATACATCTTGTAAATTTTGATACATATTGCTAAACTGTCTTCAGAAAGTTGCCACTAATTTTTCTCGCCAACTGTACGTGGCAGTGCCTAGTTCCCACATTCTAAGTCTTGCAAATTTTTTTTTATCTTTGTGCAAATGTTTTTTTTAATCTTTGCACATAGGATAGCTAACATATGATAAATAATTTTTAATTTGCATTTTTCTCATTAGGAATATTGAATGTTTTCATAGATTTGTTGTTCATTTTTAAAACATCAAATAAAACATGACATTTTGATGATATCATAAGTGTATATCCATATAGCCTTATGTAGTCTGTATGTACATAAAGAGATGTAGGGGAGGATGCTCATCAGCGATTAACAGTTGCCTATATCTGGGTGGTGGGTTTTGGGATAGTTTTTTTTTTTTTACAAAGTAAAGGTATGTTTTTAAAAGTACAATTCTTCTTGTAAGTAGCATTTTTATTACCCTTTAGAGACAGGGTCTCGCTGTGTCACCCAGACTAGAGTGCAATGGTACAATCATAGCTCAGTACAGCCTCAAACTCCTGGGGTCGAGCAATCCTCCTACCTCAGCCTCCTAAGTAGCTAGGAGGACAGGCACACACCATGGCATCTAGCTAATTTAAAAAAAAAATTTTTTTAGAGAATGGGTCTTGCTATGTTGCCCAGACTGGCCTCAAATTCCTGGACTCAAGCAATCCTCCTGCCTCAGCCTCCCAAAGTAGTGTGATTTACAGGCATGAGCCACTGTGCCTGGCCACAAGTAGCATCTATTTATAAGATTCTTTTTATAAGTAGCAAAAAATAAAGCTATTTTCATTTAAAAAAACGTTTACATTCTAGGATATGTTTCATGCTTAGGATAAATTTTGCACAAGCATATCTTCATAACAATACACAGGCAAAATCCTGACATTGCTAGTGAAAATCACCAGGATAAAAAGGCATTTTAGCAGCTTTGTATTTATTCTTTAAGTCTAGTCTTCAAGTTAAAACAACAACAACAACAACAAACCCACTACATCACAGTCTGGTTTTTACTTATTTTGAATGTTTTTCCATGGTCATGCCTGTGTGCCAGGCCACTACAGAGATGAAAGATCCAGCCCTGCCCTCAAGGTACTTATAGTCAAGCAGGATGTCCCCATGGGAGATTCTAGAGTCCTGAGGACTCTTAGAAGTGCTCTTATCAGTAGCATCTTTATTACTTTAAAATGGATTTTAAATGGAAAGGGAGTTTACAATAACAGCAAATGCATACTGAAGGCTCTTTAGTGCCAGGTGCTGTTCTAAGTCCTTAAGACTACCCTGTGAAATAAGTTCCACCATGACCCCAATTTTCCTGAAGAGGAGACTGAGGCATGGTGAGCTTTAGTATTTTGCCCAATGTCACACAGCTAGTAAATGGGGACTCCCATGTGAAACCACTCACTAATTGTCCTACTCTCTTTTGGTTTTATCTTTTTAGCAGACACCAAATGAGGAATGTTTGTTCCTGGAAAGGCTGGAGGAGAACCATTACAACACCTATATATCCAAGAAGCATGCAGAGAAGAATTGGTTTGTTGGCCTCAAGAAGAATGGAAGCTGCAAACGCGGTCCTCGGACTCACTATGGCCAGAAAGCAATCTTGTTTCTTCCCCTGCCAGTCTCTTCTGATTAAAGAGATCTGTTCTGGGTGTTGACCACTCCAGAGAAGCTTCGAGGGGTCCTCACCTGGTTGAACCAAAAATGTTCCCTTGACCATTGGCTGCGCTAACCCTTAGCCCACAGAGCCTGAATTTGTAAGCAACTTGCTTCTAAATGCCCAGTTCACTTCTTTGCAGAGCCCTTTACCCCTGCACAGTTTAGAGCAGAGGGACCAAATTGCTTCTAGGGGTCAACTGGCTGGCCAGTCTGGGTCTGGGTTTGGATCTCCCATTGTCTCTTGCAGGCTGAGTCCCTCAATGCAAAGGCGGGGCCAAATGAAGTGTGTTAAGGGGTCTGCTGAGTCATTAGTAACTGCACACTATTTCCCTCTACTGAGTAAACCCTGTCTGTGATTCCCCCAAACATCTGGCATGGCTCCCTTTTGTCCTTTCTATGCCCTGCAAATATTAGCAAAGAAGCTTCATGCCAGGTTAGGAAGGCAGCATTCCATGACCAGAAACAGGGACAAAGAAATCCCCCCTTCAGAACAGAGGGATTTAAAATGGAAAAGAGAGATTGGATTTTTGGATTGGATAACTTAGAAGGATGACATCTCTATGCAGAATACATGAAGAAAGGGAGACCCAGTCACAGGAAGGCAGAATAAATCCTTGGGAGTCATTACCACGCCTTGACCTTCCCAGGGTTACTCAGCAGCAGAGAGCCCTGGGTGACTACAGGTGGAGAGCACTAGAAGTGGTTTATTGGTAACAAGCAAGGACATCAGAGCTGGGAAATTCATGTGGATCTGGGGACTGAGTGTGGGAGTGAGGAGAAAGAAAGGGAAACTGTCTGAGGGGATATCATAAAAAGAGGATGATTTCACAAGGAGAAGGAAAGAGAAAGTAATGCCACACATTGTGCTTGGCCCCTGGTAAGCAGAGGCTTTGGGGTCCTAGCCCAGTGCTTCTCCAACACTGGAGTGCTTGCAGATCATCTGGGGACCTGGTTTGAAGGGAGATTCTGATTCAGTGGGTTGGGGGCAGAGTTTCTGCAGTTCCATCCAGCCCCCGGGTGCAGGTGCTGACGATACTGCTGCCTTACCCGCCATACGTAAAGGAGCAGGGTCCTGGTCCTAAAGAGCGTTATTCAGCTGAAGGTGGTTCAACTCGCCGAACCTCACCTGACCTCAACTCACCCTTAAAAACGCACACCTCATGAGTCTACCTGAGCAGTCAGGCAGCACCGACAGTAGTTATACCTGTACTAAGGAACATGATTTTAAGATGCTTTGGCCCAATGCCTATAAAATGCCCCTTTCAAAGATACACAAAAACATACTTCAAAAATGTTAAACCCTCACCAACAGCTTTCCCAAGAGACCGTTTGTATTACCATTACTTGTATAAATACGCTTCCTTCTTAAACTTGACCCAAGTGGCTAGCAAATTAGAAACACCATTCATCTCTAACATATGATACTGATGCCATGTAAAGGCCTTTAATAAGCCATTGAAATTTACTGTGAGACTGTATGTTTTAATTACATTTAAAAATATATAGCTTGAAAGCAGTTAAACTGATTAGTATTCAGGCACTGAGAATGATAGTAATAGGATACAATGTATAAGCTACTCAATTATCTGATACTTACATTTACCTATAAAATGAGATTTTTGTTTTCCACTGTGCTATTACAAATTTTCTTTTCAAAGTAGGAACTCTCAAAGTAGCAATGATAATTGTGAATAAAAATTATGAGAGTGTTAGCTCATGTTTCATATGAAATTGAAGTAATTGTTAACTAAAAACAATTCCTTAATAACTGAACTGTCATATTTAGAATGGAAGGAAAATGACAATTTGTTCAAAGCATAGTGCAATTGAAGAATTGACCTAAGTAAGTTGACATTATGGTTAATGATAGTATTTTAGATTTGGGCAGCAAAATGATTTCATAACATTTTTGTTTTTGTTACTTGGATAAGATCAATCTATTTTATTTTAGTAAATCTTTGCAGGCAAGTTAGAGAAAAAGCAGTGTGGCTTAACGTCTCTTTAGTATGAAGATTTGACCAGAAAAAGATACCCAGAGAGGAAATCTAAGATAATTATAATGGTCCATACTTTTTATTGTATGAATCAAACTCAAGCATAACATTGGCCAAGGAAAATTAAATGCCATTGCTAACATGTGAAATGGAAGTCTGTGATTTCAGAGATGCAAAGCATTGTAGTAAAAACACCAATGTGACCTCGACCACCTCAACCCAGATACCATTCATATATCTGTTCAATGACTATTAAGTTGCTTACTTTGTGCTAGGCACTGTACTGGATACTGGGGACCTTGTCTGTCTGGTTTGCTGCTGTATCTTCTCCCAGGGCATTATATTTATGATGAAAGATGCTGTGGATTCAATTCTTTCAGTCAAGAATAAACGCAGACTTTGTAGGTTCCTGCTGAATAAACAGTAAATCCCAGTAACCCAGATTTTGGAAGAATCAGCAACCCCCAGCATATAAAATAAACCCCTATCAAAATGTCAGAGGACACGGCAAGGTAAACTTAGCATTTTCAACTTTAGAACCGGGTCAGCTTCAGGGGGACTGCTTTCAAATCAGTCAAAGAGCCTGTCAGATCTAGAAGGAAGAGGTTGGTAGTTCCCTGCTCTGTTTTGAACATGCTCTAGTTCATTAACCTGGGGACGTTCCCATTGCTGTCTTAAGTAAGTCTCATAGCCAGCTCCTGTCATGTGAATTCATTTTCGGGCCAGCTCTGAACAAAGCATCATGAACATGTGTGTCTTTGGTTGTTTGCAATGTGATGGTGGTAGAGGTAGGTATTGGTTTCCTTGGAAGGAATGATAAGAAAGATTCCAATGGCCAACAGTGTGTATGAACAAAAAACTGATTGGAGCATCAGCTGTTACTGAAGGTCCTTGCTTTATGTCAGAGGCAACGGAACCCAAGTCTCCAAGTCCTCAGCCTTGAGTGTACTGCTGACAACTAAACTCACAGGCTGCAAAGCAGACCTCTGATGAAGATGCCTGTCATTTCATATCACTGTCTTTTTGTGTATCATAGTCTGCACCTTACAAATATTAATAAATGTTCCAATAACAGGTGATAATGTCTCTGAGTTTCTGAGCATCCTGTTGCCTCATCTTTCTATCAAAGGACTTCCCTGGCATCCCTGAGGTGTGGCTGCTTAGTTTTCTATACTTACCTTGTTACCAGATGTCAGACTTTAAAAGCTAACAGGGAATGCGAAGGTAGAAACATTTTTCAATGTGTTTGGAAACAGAAGGCAGTATGGGTGATCTCCTACATTTCTGTTAGGGTAATATACATATACAGGAAATGTGCCTCCTGAGGAGTCAGGCACCACAAATAACTCAGGTGAAACTTTTTCTTCTTAACATAAACCATGTAAAATTATGCTACTATTGTTGAGGTGACTGCCTGGTGCTTAGGCAAAGATATGATATGACCTGAAAACAACAACAACAAAAACCATTTAAGGACTTATTTACAATTGTAAGTCAATGGCAAGAGGGTGGATCTCTTCATCTTAAGAGCCCTGATGTGGAGCCGTAGATGTGCTTCTCAGATTTTCTAAATTATCATTCTGAGCAGTATTTCCTTAAATAAACTTCTGGATCTTATGACATCCTTAGGAGGAAGTATGCTGCTGCCTAGCACAGCATATGGAATCACACACACAGATGCACACGCATCGTCTAAGGAAAAAGGTGGACAGTGTGTGCTCACTCTGCTAATTACATACTACAATATTGATATACCACACTCAATCCCTTCTTTCCCTTCTAAAGTTGCATAAAGCAATGTTTTCTACTTTTTGGATCTTGTTCCACCATAAGAACTACATTTTCCATTACAACCTGGCACATACATACTGTTATACATATACACCACTGAAACAAAAATTTCACAAAACTAGATGAGAGGCACTTTGATTTTGCTGTTACATTCCACTAAAACACACTGGTCAAACATCACTTAACTTGGTTCACAACATTCATGGGTCACAACTGCAGTTTGAAAAACACTGACTTAAAGCAACTGTTCTTCCCAAAGATGGCGAGACCCAATGAGTATCTTGTGTTAAGGCTTTAGTGTTTTCAAAGACACAGTTTGTTCTTGAGTAAACAAGACAAGAGGACATCCTGTTACCCAGGAACCATCTGTTTTGAAGGCTCTGTTAATTCTTTTAGCCTGATTTGCTGCTAATCATGTAAAATGAATGTAATGGAACAGATTCCATGGGCGCCCACTGCTGCCTCCAAGGCTGGTCTAGCAGATTTTTCTGCTCTTGGAAGCCCTGGAGACTTTGACCCCCTCCCCATCCTTTGGAATTCTCATCACGTTGGGTCTTGAGGTCGTTCCCTCCCTAACTCCCACAGTCTTCACTTCATTCCTCTCTGTTGCCTCCCCAACCCCCAACAATTCCTAGTTCTTAACCACTTCTAATAAAAACATAAAAAGCAGATTGAACCAAGAAAAGGCTATAACCTGGGGCCTCTATGCAGCTTCCCCAGCTACTATCACTTTCTGGAAATGATCCTCTCTCACCTCTTACCTACCTTTTAAAAAGTATGCCATTCCTGGTTCAGTCCTAAGCTAAACACCATTGCTGCTGGAATGCAGCTTATACAGGGATCTGCATTTTCCATCTCAGCTGAACCAACTCAACAAAGTAATTCTATGTCTTAAATATTTGGTGGGGTACGGGTGGCTGAGAATGGACCTCCTGTCAGTGAACTTGACCACAAAGAGAAAAATACAAATATAGTCTTCACTTTTCATATTTATCTGAGTGATGTCCTATTCATCACGGGATGGGAAGGGAGGAGGAATCTCCAATCCTAAGCACTTTTGGGTTGTTATATTAGCCAGTATGGTAGTAGTAGCTCATCAAACAAAAATGTGCTGTCAACTACACTTTCACAAATTAACAAAAAATATTTTTAGAAGCATTAGTGATAATGTGGAAATATTTAAGCCCAACTGAGCAGCAGGACTTGTATGTTCTCCATTTCAAAATGACTAGGGATGATTTGTTTGATGACCGTTAAAACTGAAATAATGGCTAGTAAAAAGTGGCACCCCCTCTTTCGAATCCACTCCCTAAAGCTGTCTTCCACCCCTAGGAAAAAACTCCTCTTGTCATTGTACGTAAATGTACACTAAAATCGACTCAGAACTCAGAGCTTCAGGGTTGGAGATCTGACACTACGGACTCCAGACCCTAGTAATTCAACTACCATTCTCTCAAGTTACAAGGGAAATGTACTAAATGACTATTGGAATCTTTCTGCAACGTTGGACCCACTTTGTGGTTGACATATTGACCATGACATACTACACTGTTAGCTTTCCACCCTAGTTATAAAATTAAAAAGAGAAACCAGGTCACACACAGCCCGAAGCCAGAGGGTGGGTTTGCTTTATAAAATGCACATATTGTAGGACCTAGCTTTGGGGTCTTCTGATGGTTCTGAGAATGTTTGTGATGTGGGAAGGAGATATTTCCCAAATTGCTTCCTTCCTTCTTAGCTCCCCACTGTCACGCAGGCTATATTTACACATTCAGCAGCTAAACATTGGTGTCTGTTTCATTACATAAACAAGGAAAACCTCACATGTCCTTGATGTGCTTTTCTATCAGCCTTAATGAAGGGTTGGGCACTCCCTGATTGAACTATGTTCAATTTAAGGATTTGGTTCACTTGGCCAAAGTGTTCGGGGATAGAGATGTAAATAGTCAATTTGTGCCAATTGTCACAGAGACACACTTCACTGTGATTTTCACATTTCATGTTTTCTTAGGAAATAATTTTTTTTAGTCTGACCCATAGATACATAAGAATAAGAAGTTGGATTATTTTCGAATATGCCTTATTCTCCAAAACAAGTTGTAGGAACGTATTATATACTAACTTGTATATAATTTGCATGGATTAGAAAACAAGACTGTTCAGAGCCTGGGAATATCAACTGTATTAAGAGTTTAGCCACTTCCTGTGGAAATGAATAGTAAAATCTATTGCATTCTCAAAATGGAACACCTGCATGAGGCACCGTGCTATTGAAACAGGAAATGGTACAAGTTTTAAGACTGGGCAGACTGTTTCTGCTAATACAGGACAAAATTGCAAATCCAAGATGGTTGTGCAGAAAGAGCACATGAGAGGGATATATGTTTCCATATCCTTGGTACCACTGAAATCTGCTGTATACTTAATTGAGGTAAAAAAGAGGTAGGCTCTTTTTTTTTTTTTTTTTTTTTTTTGAGACGGAGTCTCCTTGTATCACCAGGCTGGAGTGCAGTGGCGCAATCTCGGCTCTCTGCAACCTCCACCTCCAGGGTTGCAAGTGATTCTCCTGCCTCAGCCTCCCAAGTAGCTGGGACTACAGGCGCCCGCCACCACACCCAGCTAATTTTTGTATTTTTAGTAGAGACGGCATTTCACCGTGTTAGCCAGGATGGTCTCTATCTCTTGACCTCGTGATTCACCCGCTTCGGCCTCCCAAAGTGCTGGGATTACAGGCATGAGCCACTGTGCCTGGCCAAAAAGAGGTAAGTTTTATAGATTGCTTGAAAATGTATAAGAATTGCTTGAACCCAGTAGGTGGAGGTTGCAGTGAGCCAAGATCACACCACTGCACTCCAGCCTGTGTAACAGAGAAGAAAAGAAAAGAAAAAAAAGAAAAAACAGAAAACAGAAAAGAAAAGAGAAAGAGAAAAGAAAAGAGAAAGGAGAGAAGAAAAAAGAAAAGAGAGAAAGAGAGAAGAGAGAGAAAGAAAGAGAAAGAAGGAAGGAAGGAAAGAAAGAAAAGAGAGAAGAGAGGGGGAGGGAGAAAGAAAGGAAATGAAAAAAGAAAAGAAAGAAAAAAGAAAAGAAGGAAGGAAAAGAAAGAAGGAAAGAAAGGAAGGAAAGGAAGGACAGGAAGGAGAGAAAGAAAAGAAAGAAAGAGAGAAAATGTATAACTCCAAAAAACTTCACTCTGTCACCCAGGCTAGAGGGCAGTGGCGTGATCTTGGCTCGCTGCAACCTCCACCTCCTAGGTTCAAGTGATTCTCCTGCCTCGGCCTCCTGAGTAGCTGGGGCTACAGACAAGTAGTATCACCATGCCTGGCTAATTTTTGTATTTTTAGTTAGGAATTTGCCATGTTGCCCAGGCTGGTCTCGAACTCCTGACCTCAAGTCAGGAGAGCCCGCCTCAGCCTCCCAAAGTGCTGGGATTACAAGTGTGAGCCACTATGCCCAGCCTATCCATTAACCATCTATTGTCTATATTAGTCAGGGTCCAGTCAGGAGACAGAAACCACACCAATCATTTGAACAGGGGGACATTTTAATGGAAAGAATTGTTAACTAGTAAAAGGCATTAACTTTAAGAAGGGTAAGGAGATCTCTAAAGAACATTGGAATAGTAGGTGTAGAGAACAACTACTACCTTCCAAGCTGAGGAGAGTACTCAAGGAAGGAACTCACTTGAAAGAAGACATCCTCTCAAGATGAGATTCAGGCTGCATTCGAGATGTGGCCATGGCCCACTGGATGGTGAAGAATTTCACCGAGGTGCTTCATTCCCACTAGAATGCTGGTGAAACTCTCTGGAAGTTTTGCTGGAGTGCCAGCAAAACTCGCCAAAAGGTGTGCACCAGCAGGTCTCCACAGGGAGCTGCCCAGTGGCCACTGCACCATAGGAGCAAGAAGAAACATAGGAGCAACAAGAAAAGTGTAAGAACCCCAAAGAAATGCCCCTTCTTCTGATAGTGTCCCCCCAGCGCCCTCTACTGACAAACATTACTTCATATCAGCTGGTATAGAAATGTTTTCAGGGTTCAGCTTCAGTATAGCAAAACCATGCAAAGAGTAGATTTGGAGCAGAAGAGCAATAAACTGGTAACTGTCATAAACATGATTTAGATACTATGCTAGATACAGAGTATTCAAAGATGAAAAAAGGTGGTCCTTTCTCTGAAAAAACTTATTATAGTGGTGGAGAAAGTGCTAATTTTTTTGGCTTTATTTCCTTTAAAAAAAATGATATCTTTCCAAGCCTTCTGAGATTCTCAGAAGAACACTAGGTGTGTTC